CAACCAGTATCAGGGCACCCCCATAGCATCATTGCAGGGTTGGGCAAGACCCATAGCATCATTTACCACATTGCCGTAAAAGAAGCAAGAAACCCTATTAAAAAGCTATTTAAGTAAATGTTTCCTCAAGGTAATAGCCATGCCAAATGCATCTCAGCCATCTCCCTGCAGCTTGACTGTGCCAACGGTAACGCTGCAGACCTTTCAACTGCTGCTGGAACGGAGTTGGTGACCATCCCTCACGCTAGAGCTCACAGACCTTCCGTCCAGCAGAAGGGACGGCAAGTTGGTGAAAATTAACCTCCAACACAGAATACCCTACGGCACAAGTGGGCTACACCACAGCACGTGGTTAGGATGCTCTGCCCCATAACCATCCTATCAACCAGCTCATCACAGGCTAAAGAACACGGAGAAGAAATCCAAGCCAGATAACCATATATTGACAGGAAATCATCTGGCTCTGTACCATTCCCACCACACACCTCTCAAGTGTTTTATAGGAGGTAAAGCAGTGAATGTTTTAAATAGACGCCCTAGCCTTTCCTAAAATTTTATATTTATAATCATAGGATTTATAAGAATTTAGGTTGAAAAACTCAAGATTGTAGCCCCTATTTACAAAAACTCAGAGGCTTGGGATGGCCGTATTTGGATTACATTGCTTTATTTCTTTGTTTCAATTAAAAAATTCTCAATGCTTATGCATTTTTCATTCCTTAATGCTCTGTTCTATCAGAAGAAACATAAAAGCTGCAGACAACATGCTTTTCACATGGAGACTACTTCCTAGCCTGCTCCAGTTTTATAAGCTCCTCTCTCCACGCTCCTTCCAAAAAGGAGGGAGGAAAAAAATCCAAGATAAGTCAAAACCAGAGGTTTCATTCACAATAAAAGGCACTCTAGCATTTATTTTCACTTGAAAGCATTAGTTTCTGAAAATTATCTTCTCCCTTTTATGTCTGCAGATGGAGATCATCAAGCTAAAGAATATGATATGGGTTGGGTAGATGAGTGCTTCTAAAGCAATGCAGGTAAGGAGGAACAAAACAGTAAAAATATAGATAGATACGTGTGGGTTCCCTCCCTAGATGAGGGAGACACACTGAACAACTTTGAATTAATATGACAAATCAAATATTAACAGCTACATCTTAATACAGTTCCTAGCCTCCCCTTACAATTCTTCTTATTCTCTCCAGTGTAATATTCCTCCACGCTGTTACTGAGCTTGCAGCAGTTGCAATGGGCAGCCAGGTAACACGGGCAACACTGCAGGCTCCTTAGAGCCCAAAGTCGCTTCAAATAAAGTAAAAACAGCACCAGATCTTGCAAGTCCTGGCAATTGCCCAGGGTTGGAAAACCTCCCAACAGAGCATCACGCAGCAGGACCTTTTACCTCTGCTCCCTCAAAAGCCAAGGTCTAGAAGGCGCACAGCAGAGTTCATTTCATACTATAATCAACCCTTTAGGGCCACAGGCTATTTAAGGAGCTGCTGGCCATACGGTAGCTCTAGATTAACCTAAATGCCCACCTGAATTGCAACCCCCCACTCCCTCAGAGTAGGGAAGGATGGATTCTGCAGATAACCTATTTTCAAGCAAGGTTTGCACATAGCCTTGAAGGTGCATGGAAATAAGTGCGCAGCGCAGGCACATTTCCAAGCCACTTTCAGCACAGATTTTATTTGTGCCTCGGTTGTACGCTTACAGTGAACATGGGCTTTTCATTCCCCTAAGCTTTCCAAACCGTACAGGAAGGCTAAAAGCATGTTAGCAAGCACATATGCTGCTACTCTGTCATTTGTCTGAGCTGCCTTCCTGGCTAGAGATTACCTGCTTGGCCCAATGCAAAGGCTGTAAGAGTCAGCAGAAAGAGCCTGGGGGCGACCAACAGGCCTCTAACCTGGACTCTAATTTACATTCCTACATCAGCAGCCCTGATATCAGACTCAGCAGCAGCTCTTACTCCTCGTTTGGAAGGCGCAATGATGGGAGCAAATAAAACAGTTGGAGCCGGTGTCAAGGGACACGTACTTGGGCAAATACACCTCCCTTCATACACGTCTCCCCCACCAAATTACATATTATTAGAGCAGAGGCAGTTATGCTGCTTTAAGGAGGATCCTTAGAGGCACTAAAGGTTTTTCACCAATTCTCAAGTACCTTTCTCTAACCTACCCGTGCCAGAGAAATGGGAGCCAACTTTGAATCCAATCCAAAAGACAATCAAGCACTAAATGTCAAAGCAATTTTACAAGTCAGAGCAACGGGGATGAAAAGGCTGGAAAGCATAAAAGCGTATTGGACAGTTTGTTTACAATTTAAAAGTTTTCATCTTCAGTGCTCTCTTGACCTGCTGTTTGTGAGGGCTGGAGGCCAGCTTTAAGCATTCAGACAAATCTTGTAGCAAACTGGGGGAAAATACAAACCACGGCCTGGATACTTTTCGTTGCCCTCCTGCGGGCAGGTTAATAACTCGGCATCTGTAAATCACTCACCCAGCAAAACCTCCTAAATGTATAACGTTATCACAGCTCAAAGTGTATTATTAATGCATTTATACAAACTCATGTGCATCTACACAAATGCAGTGTTGCCACTCCCTTAAGAAAATCCAGGAGGAATTCAGAGTTTCTATTTCTAGGGTTGATTTTTTTTGCTTTTTACTTTGTTTTCATTTTCCAGGAGTGGGGAGAGTAAAGAAAGGCACAAAACTCCATTGACCAGACAGGTACATTTAAAGCTAAGCTGTTGTTTAGCTGAACTGACCCAAAGAGAAAGAACATCCCAAATCTCTGCAAGAGGTGAAACACGGCAGATCTCTTGTCTGCCATTGTCTTCCCTTCCCCTGCAACTCACTTGTTCAATTAAGCCCACAGAAGCATCACTTTTCATTAGGCATCCAGAACTCCAACGGGAGCCAGGGACACCATGTGAGCCTAAAACAGTGACATTTACATATAAACACTTAGTCCTCTGTGCTGGATCCTGCACGTGCTTTCAGGTAGCCTGCCCAACTAACGTCCGGGAGGCTCAGGCATTTTGGTGGTCCTCAAAAGCACACCACATTGGCTTCCCCTTTGCATTGCACTCGCATCTTTTGACATTTACTGTAGTTTCAGGAGGAAAAGTTCCTGCAAAGAAGGGAAGGGAAAAAAAAAAAGATCCGTTCTCTGAGTGCAAAGATATAGGAGGTTCAGATATAAAGCAAACTGAAAGCACCAGCACTCACAAAAACATCTCTAATTAACTGAACAGAGATGCCACAGCTGAGTCAGGCACACAGGATCTCCTCCTCTTTCCTTTTTTTTTTTTTCTCCCCTCCAATGATACCTCTACTACTATCTGCCCTCCGGTCATGTGCTTTCAAAAGTATTCCCATTACTTTCCACAGGAGTTGGCATAAACTACCACAAACATACAGCCCAGTGGAGGCATTTAGCTATGGATCTATGCTGGCAGCAGCCTTGAGATACAGCGCCCTAGGGAACACTGCTTGATACATTAGCCCTGCTTAAGGCTACCTGACACAGGAGGCTGTATGCATTTACTACCTTATATGACAGCACAGCTTATTCTGTAATTGTATTTAGCTATTCCTACCTGCTAGTGTAAAGAAAAATCAGGTCACAGGCATGATTCTGTTCAACTATCTTGCCCCTAGGTAGACTTAGGCACCAAGCAAGGCTTTTCATACTGCCTTCCTTTCACACCATGTGCAAGGCAGCAAGCACGGAAAATAACCTGCCAAGCAGCTCCTCCTGTAACACAATTGCTGTTCATTAAAAAGTGATCATAGGGGATAACAAGGAACCTCTCCCAAAGCCTACTGCATCAATATACAGATACGTATACTGTGGTAAGCAAAGAAATAATGTACCAATAAATAGCAGTAAGATAAATCAGAGGAGGGAAATTAAGATCTCATGCCTGAGCCAAATTAAAACTGCTCTAAGCATCTAATTATTTCTAGGGTCCAAACAATAGGATTCAATAAGCAGCCTGCCTTGAGATTCGATTTTTACTGTCACTAGTTAACGCAATTGCAGAAAGTCATAGCTTTCTTCAACAATTATCTTAATTACTTTGGTTAAAATTAAAACTTTTCCTGAGTTCCAATAACCACATTCACCTGAATGGAGTGAAGACTTCAGGAGAAAATAGCAGCTACCACTACCATTTAAATATCACAACCTCAAAATGCATGCAGTGGACTAATCCTCCTACTTATTTCTGACATTAATTTCGGTGCAAGAATCAATACAAACGGCTCATTTTCATCACTCCTAATGAGTAATTTGAGTGTCTCAAACCCGAGTTTCCCGAGTTCCTCAAGGCACCTGCAATATATTGTGAAATCAAGCCCTAAGAAGAGAGATCCCAGGATGGCAGCTTGCTTCTCTTTCATTCTTTGAAATCCTGACAATCTGCTACCCTGCGGTCTTCACACGTTTAAGAAGGAAAAGAGTGCAATAACAGAAAGAAAACCCTACAGAAAATAAACGGCACCCATTCCTTGCACTCCCAAAGAAGCTGGCAGGTTTCAGAGAGGTTTCCAAGAAAGGGTGGTAGATGGAAAATCACTAAGAAGCACGTTACTTGATTATGTGAAATAAAACAAAAATGCCTCTGACATATCTATCTGTTCTTTTAAGTTTCCAGGCATGCTGAGTGAAGCAGTTCACAGCAGCACAGGCTGCACACCAATCTATCACACTTAAATGCAATCACAGCCAAACCTAACACAAGCCGATACCTAAACTGCACATAGATGCATTTAATATTCCCCAGTCAGCAATCAACCTTTTCCACATTTGTTCATAATCACAACATATTGTTTCATTTTAATGCTTTGTTTTCTTTTGCTTTTCTCAGTGCAGTTGGCTGCGATTCTTTAAATTAGTTTTTAAAAATTCATTTCTGATGCTGCAGTTGTTCTGGTGCCATAAATTAAAAGCATTTTTGAAAGAAATGTAAGTTACCAAGTACATTCTTACCTGTTGCAGTCCACATGGAGCAGAAGGTGGGATGCACTGAGTGTCACAGCAATCTTGTGCCACTGCCCATCTGCCAGGCGGTAGGGAAACACCTCTGTCCTCGTCTTCCCATTAAACCTGTAGTGGTATCTGATCTCATCCCGTAAGCCACTGCTCTCCAGTTCAAAATAGCTGTATTTAAAAAAGAATTAATTTCATTCATTGGTCTATTCAGTGCTTTTGTCACTTCCATATTTCGTAATTTTCAAATTCCTGCAACTTCTAAGCAAACACCACATGAAAAGTCACAATCTATAGTGGTTACATAGAACTGCCTGTATAAAAGTTCTTTTTTTGAGAGAGAGAGATACAGAGACAGACAAATATTATACATTTAGTATATTATAAAAATAGCAACCTCACATATGTGTAAAAGATCATGCTCAAAATACCATTTGATAGTCCTGAAAATTGATGTGCTTTTCATCCACAGAACAGGCTGAAATACAAAGAAATGATCCTTACTGTTTGCCAAATGCTTTGTATAAATGAAGGCTTTGTAGGCAACACAAAAATAAAGGACTACACATAGCATCACCATTGAACAAAGAAAAAGCCACAGATGTAATAAAGCCCCAAGTCATATTTCAACTCATTTACTTTTTGCAAGTCTATTTTTAAATGGTAGGAGCATCCCACAAAATAACCAATGTACCTCCCCATCAGCATCATGTTCTTCTCCCAAAGAGAGTCAAATTAACCGCAAAAACAGGTGCTAATCCAAGAAAAGCAAAGGGCAGACAGATAATAAAACCCATTTCCAAAAATAAGCGTATAAGTTAAGCAGTGATTGGAAAGGGGCCCACCAAAAGAACCAAGCCTGGCCAAGAGAAACCCAAATCCTCCTCTATCCTGCCATCTGAATCAAAGACTCGAGAGCAAAGTGAAAACAAGTCACAAGCAGGTGAGGGTGAACCTAAACTGAAGAAAAAGCATGGCTGGGATTCACACGAAGCAAATACATGCAGAACAGAGTGGAAATAGTAAGGCTGCTATTGTAAAGGGTCAAAGGGTCTAGGCTGCTTGGAATTTTAAAAGACAACAAGAGGTAGAGTGAGAGAAGTTCTCCAAAAGGGAGGGAGTTTGTATTGAGCAACTACTCTCCCTCACCCCCTTAAAATACTCAAATTACACTCATAAGAAATCTGGAAGGGATTTTTTTTTTTAATTTTATTTTGATACTCAGTAGGAGCACAGTCAATATACAGATGACGCTGCTGCTGCCAGCATTTTCCAAGACAGGGAAGCAGCAGGACAAGCGCCGTGAGCGAAGCCGTACTTGCAGAGTTAAATGTTTCATAATTGCCATCTGCTGTCAAAGAACGAGAAGATGTCATTAAAGGACTGACTTTCTTCTGCAGCCAAGCAGCACCAAAGCAGAAACCTCAGAAAAGCTACATAACATGCCAGTGTCTCACACAGGCTCTGCGTATTAATATATATTTATTTACATTGCCGATCGCAGAAGTTGGAGTGCAAGACGAGCTCCAGTTGCGGGAAACACGTCGCTTCCCACAGCGATGCTTTGTGGCCACAGAGCTAATTGCTTACAGCACAGTATATTTTAGGGAAAAGGCAATATTCAAGCCCTGCAAAGGTCAGTCGGATGTTTTGCTTAATCACATTTACATTATACTATTCCAACGACACTGCAAACAACAGTTTCTCAGCTAACAAGCTTCCCCGTCAATAGGTACTGGAGGACTAACACGGCTTGCTGCCTACGTGGTGAGGTCGTTTCCTGACAGATTTATATAACACAGAAGTGGCTAGTTAAAATGTACTGTAATAGTCAGCACTAGCATTTTGATGCTTAGATACCTCTTGCACTGCCAAGAGCCACAGCCCCGAGTGAAATGCTTTGTTTTGCCTCGTGCGTCACAGGAGCAGAGGGTGACAACAAACAAACTTGGCCTTTTTCTCCTCACTGGCCTTCACCTGCTGCAAATCAGAAGCAGTTATTTTCTGGTCAGCAGAAACCACACACTAGCAACCAGCAGGATTAACCAATTAGTCCAGCCTCTCCGAAGCATTTAAATAATGCAGAAGGTGCAAACCAGCATTCTGTCATTGATTTTACAGAAGCTGCAGGATTTCATAACAAGCATTTCACTATACACACATACTCCACCAAATTCCCAAAAGACGCAACTGTCTCTCCCCT